TATCATATAAAAAGGAACAATTAATTACATATAAGCAGCTAAATATTATCTTTGAGTATCGTCTCTCCATAAGAATGAATAAATCTTAGCAATGGCTTCATGTGGCAATAATACGAGGATAACAGACATATCAAACAAATTCCCTCTAATAATTAACCCAAACAACGCAGTACACACCCATCCATTTCCGAAGATTTAAGACTAATTTGGAAGTACTTTTAAAATGACTGAAAGTACTTTTAGAGAAAATATTTTTGAGTTCCAAAAGCATTGGAAGCACTTCAAGTGTTTTTTTTTTTTAAGATTCACTTGTATATTTATCAAGAATTAGTCCAAAAAATAGTCACAAAAAACGTTTTTAAAAACACTTCCAAACTTACATTTACCTTGTCATCACTTAAAGTTGCTTTTCTTCCCTCCAATTTACTGCCATTATCTTTCTTTCTTTCATTTGATATCTTTCTCCTTTCTTATTTCCTCACCATGTGACGGGTTTTTGGCATACACAATTATTGAGTTAAAGATACTCAATCACTATTTTGCATATATTTTGAAACCAAAGATAAAATAAAGCAAGAAAATAAACAAATCTCAGTTTCTCACCGTCCACTTCCTCATCTCCAGCAGTTCCAACCACTTCTTTTACGCAATTTTTTCCCCTTGGGATTCTCCAAGTCAACCTGCAGCCTAACACTACTACTCTATATAACGACAGATCCCCCTCAATGTAACTAAAAGCTCAAACTTTCTCTTCAAAACATATAGACAATCCAGTGCAACTGAAAGCTTAAACTTTCCCTTCTCTTTTCTCTTTTCTCTCTGTTTTTTATTGGAGTTATATACAACTGATGGATAATAGTGAGGAAGTTCCATCAGCTCCTTCGACTCCTGTAACACCAGGGACTCCTGGTGCCCCTCTCTTTGGCGGGTTCAAGCCAGATCTCAGAAGTAGTGGGATTGGTAGGAAATCCCTCCTCGGGAGCTGCGGCAGCTGCTTTACTGTTGATCCTTGGGCTTTGGAAGATGGCACATTGCAGCCTAAAGTTTCCTGTGCACTGCCTTACCCTCCTGTGTCACTTGCACGAAAGGTAATTCACTAAAACCCCAATTGTACTCAAGTTCATAGTTCGAATCCCTCATTTCGTTGTTTTTTGGGCTTGTAACACCCCATAATCCGATGTCAAAGTTGGAATCTCTCTTTTTTCTCGTTTTTATCAAAAGTTGGGTCGTTTAGTAAATCAACCGTACATACTCTTAGTAGTTCAGGCGATATTTGTGCAATTTTTGCGTCGCATGTGCTTAAAGAATATTTATCAAATTTGAGATCTAAGACTAACCCATTTTTGTTTGATGCCTAATCTGTGATGGGTCGGTGCCAAAAAACCAGGTGGGAGCTGAATTCTTAGGCACTTTCATACTAATATTTGCTGGGACAGCCACAGCCATAGTGAACCAAAAGACACAAGGGTCAGAGTCCCTGCTCGGCCTTGCAGCCTCCACCGGTCTCGCTGTCATGATTGTCATTCTCTCGACAGGCCACATTTCTGGGGCCCATCTCAACCCCTCAGTCACCATTGCCTTTGCTGCACTGAAACACTTCTCGTGGAAACATGTGAGTGATGAGCTATGAACACACAAATGCCACTGCATCTTAGAACTAATTACCAACATGCCAGTCCTCTAGACCTTCTGGATAGTGATGTTCACGCTCCCGGTTTCTCGTCCGTTGATTCTCTTTTTAATTATTCAATCGTAAGACTAGAGAAACAAAAAGATTAGTACATAAGAGAGAAAATGAGGGTGCAAAAATCATTTCTAACGTTCAACTTTCCGGCTAATGATGGCTGGGGTATGGTTTTTGGCAGGTGCCGTTATATGTGGGAGCACAAGTTGCGGCGTCAGTTTGTGCTGCGTTTGCGTTGAAGGTGATATTTCATCCAATCATGGGAGGTGGAGTGACAGTTCCTTCAGGGAGTTGGAGCCAGGCTTTTGCCTTGGAATTCATGATTAGTTTCAACCTCATGTTTGTTGTTACTGCTGTGGCCACCGACACTAGAGCAGTAAGTTCGTCTCCCTATTTTAATTTTTATCTTTTTCCAAATTCAAACTCTTTCTTTTTAGAAATAAATATAGTTTGTATTAAAAAAAAGGGGTTTTTCGATCTAGGTCCAAAAACAAAGGTAGTTTTTTAACTAAGTCCAGTTATCCAATTACATATTTTTATACCAATTTTGCCTTTTTAGATAAAAATATTTAAATTCTTTAATTTTTGTATCATTTATTCAGTTTTTAATTTTGAATATTTAAATACTAACTAAAATATTATCTAGTAACCACCTAATGATGTTTACCTATAAAACCGATAAAATTTAGTAACTACCTATTGTATAGGAAGAAAAATACTTTATACCAACAAAACAGATGTAATCTACCTACAAAAAAAAAAAAATAAACTACCTATTGTATAGGAAGAAAAATGCTTTATACCTACACAATAGATATAATCTACCAACAAAATAAAAATAAACTACCTATTTTATAGGAAGAAAAATGCTGAACCTCCATGGCAGAACATTAGAATAGAAATATGATATAATATACCTCTATTAAAGGAACAAATACTAAACAAAAAAAAAGGAACAAATACTAAGTTTCAGTTTACCTTTATGATACGCACAAAAATACAATAAAGCAAATATAAATGCATGATACTGTATTATTGCTTGCAATTGATACTGTATTGCTGAAGGAATATGTAAAAAAATTGTGAAAGCTATGTAAAAATTGAAATTGTCATGAAAGAATTTGGAGGGAGGAACACAAAATATCACCCATGAAATATGATAGAAGAAAGAGGATGATTGATTCCATGATCTAACAAAGGAAATTGTTTAGAAGAAGGAAAAAAAGGAGGGATGAAACGGACTGGGGGTTGAGATTTTATTGCTATAACTAATCCTACAATTAAGGAATTAGTTAAATCACAAATAATCATATAATTAAGAAATTTTGAATATTTACTACAATTTATAAGTCTAAGGGATAAATATGGTACAAATTATAAATAAGCTTACGTGGAATATCAATTATTGGACCTATTTCAATGCAATGGACTAATTATAGTAATGGCTCACAAAATTGTATCTATATCAAATTATTCCTAAAAAAAAATAGTATAAATAACGAGTATAGTAATTTTCAATTTGAGTTTGAACAGAAAATAAGACTCTTAACCGTTCGAGCTACAAAATCTATATATTCTATTAAGAGATACACAATACTTACATAAGAAAGGCAAAATAGTAATTTTGTATCTTTTGAGAAAATGACAATTATATCCCCATTTTCCGTATTTTACCTTACTTTTGATACACAATATTTACATAAAAAGGGTAAAATGGTAATTACATAATATTAGGAAAAATATGCCCTTATTAAGAGATCTCATCATCATTGTCTCACATTCTGTTTAAAAAATTTAAAAATTAATCACACTCCTTAATCAAAAAAAAAAAAAAATGAAATTGTTCACACACAAAGTATGTACTCATCTTCTAGTATCTATTAAAATTATGGAAGTTTTAACGAAAAACCCATTATATTGTTCACTTTAACGAAAAACCATATTTTTACACTAAAAAAATCAATCATGGTACTATTTACTTTACCTTTTAGTTTGTCCTTATCATTAAAACTCAAAGTTTTCAAGTCATTTTCATTAGTTTTCCTTAAAGTTATTGCTTTTGAGGAAAAAAATTTGTGACATTTAATTGTTGGCAAAAGATTAGATATATAGAGTAGTTGAAAAATTGGTCCCCAATATTATATTTAATTAAATCTGCATCCAGACAACACACCCTTCTAGGATTAAGGAGACAGGAATCCCATTATTAAATATGTTTATCAACAATTGCATGAGACAAGGGTCAATTTTCTATGAATAAGTATGGGTTAAATTCGGATAACTATTCAATCAATATTAAGTAATGATGTTTGTAGCATTAAATGATGAGGTGGGCAAATACTAAACTTGGTCTCTACTATTCATAGTCTTTGGAGAGCTGATTCCCCAAATTTATCATTTTAGACTAAGTCCAGCTGTAAATTTACTTAGCTAAACTGTGTCAAATTGAAGAGTTAAAACTCCATAAATGACTTGAGAGTAAAAACGCTAGTGAACCTAACAAATGTCCCTTCAAAACATTGGGTTGTTATTTGAAATGTTTTAAAAGGTTACAACAGATTTAGAATCACCTTTAAAAGTTGGGTAGAATTTTATTTTATTTTTTTTTTTGGGTTTTGGTAAATCTTGACGGTACGAGAAAATTTTATTGAGGGTAGTTATCCCGACTTAGCCCATATAATATTAAAAGTTTATATCTCACCTTAACCTTAAGAAGTAGAAACTAGAAACACATCCAAAGAATTAAATATGTAAAATTATTAATAAAACAGCACATGCATACATGACTGACAGATCAAATTTTTAACCATATACAGGTTGGAGAATTGGCGGGAATCGCGGTGGGAGCAACTGTCATGCTTAACATACTCATAGCTGGGTATGTCACTACTCCAACCCACTACTCCCTCTACAATATCTTACTTTTGGGCTGAATAATGAATCTATAATCCTAAGAACATAATTTAGTTATGCCCGATCGTATATTCCTTTGTGTCTGTCTCCCATCATGTTAAACGAGCTAGACACGAGGAGATACACACATCGGGATCCCCATTTATTCACAACGAGTAAGCAATTGCCATGTTATATGCCATATCATATGTTAATGCACTCGGATCACACAATTCACAGGCAAAACGAATGCATTCTTAAACTTACGTAGAAACACACATCAATGCTATTTCAGGATGATCTCTTGAAAAGTTTCGTTTTCTTTTTCACAATTGTGCAGGGAAACAACAGGAGCTTCAATGAACCCAGTGAGAACGTTAGGGCCAGCCATAGCTGCAAACAATTACAAAGCAATATGGGTCTACCTCACTGCACCATTTCTTGGGGCGCTCTTTGGGGCGGGAACCTATACGGCTGTCAAGCTGCCTGAAGATGTTGACAGTATTGAAAAGCCTTCACCAAGGAGCTTCAGAAGATGACTGATCGACATTCTCATCAGGCCTGCATCAATCATCCAGAAGCTCGGATAAGGATATAATGCAGATGGTGTTGCAAAGGGAAGTGAGATAAAGTACAGTTGCATGATGATCTCTGGTGGGTACATACATATATAATACAAATGAAATAGTCTGTATCGATAATTTGCCAAGATACGCATTCTCTCCCATCCCACTCCAAGAAATAAGAAATTTAAAAAGTATAAGAGTATAAATATGAGAATTGACCCCCTTATTTGGTAAAATGAGGGCATATGAGATTGACATATTGTGGTCCTTTCTTAATATACAAGGTTTGTGAGAAAAAGAGATTTCGAGGAGTTCAAGCAGTGTTACTTTCAAGGTTTCGTAGTTTCCCAAACTACCAAAATTCACTTAATGTGCATAAAGGACCGTATCTACTATATTTTGTCACATTTCTCTCCAGTCATTTCAAAGTTCAAAATCAAATAAAAATTCCATACAGATCTGGTTTTGCACTTTTTAGCATAAATAGTATATGCAATCAATTGATGTGTAAATATGCTCCGAAGGCATGAGAATTACAATGACAGCCTACTAACTCAATAAGAAGCTATCCCGCTTATTCTACCCCCAAAGAATGCATCTTTTCTAATTTCAACACCGACACCAACAGTTGATACACATAAGTTATATTGGACTTGGGTTGAAGTTTCTGGGCTTGAAATGCCCAATATATCTAATTAGATGCATAACCTGTCTATGCAATCATAGGAGCCATGCATACAATTAAAAGGAATATAGTTCCTTTGAGTAAAGAAATAGGTGCATAACATTCAACCACAAGAACAACAACAAAGCCTTATCCCACTAAGTGGGGTCGGCTATATGAATCCTAGAACGCCTGGCTCGGTTTTGTGTCATGTCTTCCATTATATCCAAGTAGTCCAAGTCTTCAATTAGATCCAATGTTATGCATAGACAGGTGCATAACATTCAACCACAACAGAAAATATAAAATATCCATCACTGAAGTAAAGGATCAAAATTCAAACAAAAAGTTTCATATAAGAGTCAAAACAAGCTGAAATTTGACAGGGGCACTCCAGAATGAAATCCAAGAGGAAATACTTCCTCATAGTTCCTCAGGTAAACCATTTGGCATCAAAGTTCGAGTCTATCATCCCATTCAAGTTAGTGACCAAGCCTATGAGAAGGATGCATAGGAGAGTTAGACGATGTTTACTTGTTTCTTCTTAGCTTAAGGGTGTTAGAAAATCACATAAGAGAACGCGACATAACTTTGCAACTAATTTGGTTTCAAGCACAATCTTACCAAAATTCTTCCTGGCTCTATCTAATTATTGATTTTTTGCAAAACCAAATGTTTAGAATCAAGCTAATATGTCTGTATGCAGACAATCATCCAGGCAGCTACGCAAGTTGATCTGTCATAAATTGACAAGTGAACAACAAGCAGTAGGCAATACATATTGCCAAGATAACTGGTTTATCATCACCTTGTAAAGATAACTGGTTTATCGGTGAGATTATAATTTGATGAGTCCAAAAGTTTTAAAAACATGTTAAACAGCAGAAAATCCAATACTTTCCATTCAATTGGAGAAGCACACGTTAATATTTTGAATGACATAAATGCGTCTCAAACATATGGTTAATCCTTCTACAATCCACAAATCCCTCTTTCAAATGTGTTAACTTTTTCTTGCAAGTGCATCGAATGTATCCAACCTGTTCCAGCTTTATCTACAATTCTATATCTATAATGCCCATGTCGAAGAAACATACACATATACTTGGTTTTACCGATAGTAAAAACAAATATCTAACCCATAATGTATAAAACAAAAGTGGAAGAGCAGTCACTCTCCACTATTGTAAAAACAACATCCATAATCTAAGCTTCTTTGTATATAAAAAAAAGGATCCAAATAATCTGAGTTAGAACTTAGAGAAACACTCAACTGAGCCGCAAGCAGTCTTAGGAGACTGCCTTTGTCCAATCTGCATAAACAAGAAAGAAGGATCCATCCTTAAATTTTTATGAGGATGAAGCTAAAATTTGTACGGGAAGGGTCCATCCACTAACCAAACTGATATTTCTTATCCCGAAATTGTACAATTTAACTTCAAAATAGCAGACATTGCAACCAAAGTTATCTACTCTTAGTTTTCCCGCTTTTTCTCAGGTTAAGTAAGTGTTCTAGGCTTCTAGCAACATATTTCTGATTACATGTATTATTCTGCGCCAAACCTTGTACAAAGATGATACACATACAATACATTAAGGATATAATAAAGTTATGCAATGTTGGGGTCATTTAAAAGCAATCGCAATAATTTAATGTTGTAAAAACAAATACAACTTAAAGCTAAAAGCAAAAACAACATAAACCACAGCTTTCTGATGCCTTGAACAGAAATGTAACTTTCTATTAAAATCATCAGAAATGTGTAGAAGCAAGTGAATGAAGTACATTGTACAAGCGATAGCTCACGCAGAAGCAAATGAATGAGTAAACATATTATCAACTACATAGAATTTAAGCAGACATATGAAGAACAACCAAATCACCATATCTGTTTCTGATCCTACACTACACTGTTCAGCATTTCAGAGAAACTTAAATTGTATTTAATGGAGTAATAACAAGATAAACTTACCTAAAGTTAACGAATTGCTCGAACGATTGCCGCAATGAAAAGCTCAATGCCGTCATCTTTTGCTAGCTTCTGCCGCAATGAAAAGCTCAATCCTCTTAATATCTCCAGATCACAACTCAAAATTTCACTTTCTCGTATTTTCCCACTCTGGCCAACGAACTCCTCTCCTTAAACACCCAAACTAACCCAACCCCACCAACACTTCCCAAAAACCAGACAACCCCATTACCCATTCCGACCCAAAAGCCCATTCAGACCATCGAAACCTCTCGGACCCGACCCGTCTCATTCTCGGGTCGAGTCACATACTTGACAAAATAAAGCACCAGCGAGCCGATTAGGACGCCAACGAAATCGGCGACGGCGTCTTTAGCGGAGGCTCCGGCGGACCTGAAGAACCCGAGCTCGTCAGCGAACTCCTTGGCTGCGCCGGCTAAGAGAGACAAGATGGATCCGAACCAAATAGAGTGACGACGGAGAAACGGGTACCGGGTTCGGTTGGCGAGCGTGGAGAAGATGAGCGTGAGGGAGAAGCAGAAGAGAACATGTTGGAGCTTGTCTGGGGCTAACCACGGGTCATTGTCGTCCATTCGGAGATTCGTAGGAAGGAGTGTTTGGTTGGGAAGAAAATGAGTCGAAAGAAAGTTTGAATTTTCTCCTTCTGCCCTCTTATGTACATGAACAAAATAAACAAAAATGATACGAAATAATCAACAGTTTCTTATCATTCTGTAATTTTTATTATTTAATGAAATGCTTAACGTATTGATCGTTTGCAACGTTTCTCGCTTTAATTGTCTCTAAGCGTGGATTAAAGAAGCGGTGCATTATCTTTTATCTTTCGCGTTCGTCGTCATATTCGACGCTCTTTTTCCTACCCTGAAGTTTTGTCTCATGTGGTTTTCGTAACACATCCGCTCTAGTTTTAACATTCAAGTATAGAAATGTAGAGAGACATGCTAACTTCTAGTTCAAACCAAAATAACAATTCAACCTTTTGACTCCCTTACTGCATCAAGGACACCATACAATACTGTTTTTGTTTGCATAGAAAGATAAAGACAACGACAATCCTCATTAAACCAAAATCATTGATCATAAGACCTCCTCACATGCTAATTCATCTTGCTAATTAGTTCATTGATCTTATCCCCGCGATCGCCCGCGTCTCCCCCGTCCTTGAATACCGTTTTTGAGCCCTTTAATCCTGCTTCAGGCTTGTTGAGCACAAAGGGCCATAAAAAGCCGGTAACCTCCTTAAAATGTGGGCCAATCGTAGCAATTTCATGAACTATATCTTCTATGCATATAACATCATGCTGCCCCATTGCCTGTCGGATAAAAGAGGGGTGTTTACAAATTGAAATAAGAAATCGATGACTGGTAACCAAACTACGCTCAATATTCGGTAAGACATTACCCATTACCTGTTCAATAAGGTTGTTGTCTGTCAGAGGAACTTTCTTCTTGTCGATCTTTGCAAAGCCCTTCTTGTAAATCAGATCCCTCACATTCTTAAGATTAGGATACCTTCGGAAACCAGAAAAATATCATCATGAGTCATGACCACGAAGCATTGGTCAGTAATATACAAGCAACAATCCAAGGGGAATCGAATTGATTGCTAGATCCTATAAAATGGACATCCATATTATTCAATACAATGATTTAGTTAAATTTGCGGGAGCCCCCCACTCAAAGCACTGTTGTTCAACAGGGATGCAATTATGGTGAATGTTGTCTAGCCACATGCACCAAAAACAAATATTATGCGTACATAACTATTGTCGCATCTGAACATGTGTTCGGTCCTACAACACAAAATGGTAGTTCAAATACTAAAACAAAAAATATTTAAATCCTGTGACACAAGACATGAAAGATGAGAACTTAATAATTACGTACAAAATGATTTCAGGCATTTGGTGTAAATGAATATGAAAAAGTAAAACAAATTCGACTAGATAGTTGTCTCTTAAATCTTAACAGCCATAAAATCCCACTGATCAAGATTATAGATAACAACTAACATCCTATGCAATTTCTCTGTGTAATGAAAAATCCCTATACCGGTTATCAGAGAAGAAACCAAAAAACCAATTGAAATATCAAGGTTTGAAATATTAAGCAGTGCCACCAAAAAAAAAAATTACAATACCGAAAATTTATATAAAGTAAGAAAACCCCGGTATCAGCTCCTCAGCTGATACCGAAGTACTAAACCTACAGTTTTTAAGTGTTTTGATGACAGGTTCCAACTTTGTTATTGTACATGGCATGCAAGCATTTGTTGACAGACAATTCGAGCTCACATATTAAGCTCAAAAAGATTTGATACAAGAAGGGCTCGGATACATCTAGATAGAATGTCCAAACACATGGCAATTCATGATGTCTGAATAAAAAATCAGCAAACAATAAATGATTTTTTTTTTTCCCACTTTTTCTATTATAGAGAAATCAGCTATTGCTACTGTGTTTTGTCATTTATATATCCACTTAAAATATTTTAATTCTGGCATAAAAGGACAAGAATCGAAGGATGCGCAAACACCTACCCGTAGGTAACATATGGCTGCACCCTCTGCAACTTTTCTAATATAGCATCAGTTGCTTTCACAAAGACAGCATTGAAAACTTTCCTCAATTTGAGACTGTATAGGGCCTTCCTAACAACAGGGTGCATGTCATTTTTCCTGGAAAGAAGTATTGAGAAATTAGAAATAGAGAGTTCAAGTTAGAGATAATAAGCAAAATAAAACATATCATGTTAAACTGAAAACCTACCCCTGTATGCGGATGACCAAAAGAAGCTGTGAGTTAGTTGCCTCCAATGCTGGCCTTTTTCTCTTTAACCTGTGTCTCATATGGACGAGGTCCATCTCCTAATTAAAGAAACAGGTAATTTCAATCAAGGACTGCATTAGAATGTAGACAGGCTAGTGAATATACAAATCAAGTCGCAGAAACAAACAAGCCTGTGGAAACATCATCCCGCTCAAGGATACTCAATACTTAGCAAGAAAAAACTTTTCAACAAGCTCATAAGAGCCGTCTATCTTAAGTTCTGAATTTTAGCATAATACACAACTTCTACTACATATTGAAATATTTAAAAAACTGTCTTTATAACGCAGGTTTTAACGCATTATTCTCAAATCCCACGTCTCAGAGAGAAAGTTCAGTACAAAGATCTCAAATTTCAACGGTAAAACAAATTCAATCTTTCTCCTGAATGAAATCGCAATTAGAAAACATACATGTTCACAATCTCTTTACATCACAGATGAGGGTCTCTAATTATAACACTCGAGCATAAAGGCAGCACTTTACAGCATTTGGGAACTTACAATTAACAGAGTTAATGCCCACTTTTTCACACACAACAACATAAATCAACGCCGAATTTAAACTTGATAATTGAGTTTCATTGCACAATACAACAAGGAAAAGCATGAAAAGCAGCAGTACAAAACATCGCTTGCAAATAAATTACTAAAAAGCAAAAGGCTTACCCTGTAGCGATACTCTTTGACAAAATCCTCAGGTTTCTTAATATATTCTTGCTTATTTTGCTGAGACTTAAACTTCCTCTGCTCCAATTGCTCTTTCCTCCTCAAAGCCAACTCCTCATTGGTTTTCCTTCTCTTCAATATAACCTCCGGTATATACGTCAACGGCTGCGCCACCTCTTCCGTCATCACTCCCTTCTTCAACCACACAAACCCACCAATAAATAATCAGAAACTCAATCAAAATATAAACTTTATCATGGTTTCCTAAACTCCCTTCTTCAACCACACAAACCCACAAAAAAATAATCAGAAACTCGATCAAAATATAAACTTTATCATGGTTTCCTAAACTTTCTCAGGAATCAAACAGAACCCAGAAGAAAAGATGGAAAATTATCATTAAAAAATATGGAAAATTGGAGAGGGAGAGGAGTTACCTGGTATATGAGTGCTTGAACGCGTCTGGGTTTGGAGGCTGCGTATAACAATAAGAGTTGAAGGTTTGAAAAGCGGAAGGAGCAGAAGCAAAATGGCTGAAGGAGAGTGAAAGAGGAGGAGAAAGACCAAGCGGCGCGATTTGGGCTTTGGAGGGGGTTTAGGGCAAAAATACACAATAGTGTTGTATACCCAACAAGGGGTAGATTTTATTATACCCAAGAAGTTGCTAATTATACCCGATACTTATTGTACCCAACATAAATCGACCATTAAAGACTAGGAAAAACGTTTAATTCTCTCTTCAAGTGTGCAGAAGGGTAGCAATTTCAGACATGGTAAGTTACAGATGCAAAAAGAGTACAAATATTAGGAACTAAATCCTTTTTAGATTCAAATAAACTGAGTCTCCTGAGCAAATGATTCGGACAATTTTGGTCAACTAATATTCTAATACAATAATTCATACTATACATTAAAAAATTGTACGATCAGGGTAAAAAAAGTTATTCATTAAACATATATGGTGAGTTCATCAACAATTGATGTTCAAGCTAAACTTCTATTAGTTTTCCGTTATAAAAAAATACAATGTGTCTCGCATGGATAAGTTAACTTGGTTTTCAACAATTTGTGGCAACTATAACTCTTGAAACAATGGTGTCTATTAATACCAATAGCTCTACAACTGTGAGAAAGTAATCGTCAAAGTCGGATTCGATATATCACCATTGTCGTTCATTGGGTTACTATCATGATTAGTAATTTAGTAGCGTGACTGGTTATCATTTCGTTGTTTCCATCACAGGGGAGAACAAAGCTAGTGCTTGTACTCAAGCAGCAACTTCACTGTACTCTTCAAAGAGCCAACCACCATCGTTCTCACACGCTTTTGTGTCCCAATTGTTTTTACGTTTGTTGATGCACAAAATCGATGAGAACTTTGGTATAACAGAAAGTGTTAAGTTTATGACATTTGCTCGATTGCTCCGGTCACTAGTGAGGATAAGTATGTAAAGAGATAAAGACAAGGAAGCAAACACAAGATGTACGTGGTTCATCGAGATTGGCAACATTCACGAAGTAGAGGAGTTCTCATTAATAGTGAAGGGTTTATACAAATACATAGGTTCAAGCTCTCCTTTAGTGAGTTCTAGTGAATAGTTTAGTACAAATGACATTCGAGATTATTGTTGGAGAATGATCTCCTTGTATAGAAGAGAGTTTCTAGCTTTATTTTGACATTGACATGTGTCGTGATGTGATTGGCCTCTAATGTTGACATGTGTCGAGTTGTGATTGACCTCCTGGTTGAAGGGAAATTCTTGTGGGTCCTTGACGGTATAATGCTGATCGGTGCTCAGTAATTTCAGGATTGGTCAAGTATGGCACAAACAACGTTCAATTCTTCAATTGCTTGGAGGAGAGGACGTCCGAGTAATTTTGTAGGCAATGAACAAGCAAGCATCATCAAATCAAATGTTCTGGTCTTCTTAGTTTAGTTCAAAGGACGATTTTAACTCCCACAGGCAAGGTTTATATACTTTGTTTGAACGGAAGACTGGCAGAAGTTAAGATTTGGATCTCAATTGCCAGCGAGGCATACCACAAAAGTTAAATTAACAAATTTTCACCATGAGAGTCACATTAAAAATGCAGTGTCATTGATCAACCACAAAAAAAATTTGGCATTATTTTTAAATCGATTTTCATATTGGTTGACTCTTTTGTTGGCACCTTAACATCTTAACCTAAGGTATCGTCGTTGACAGTTAGGACTGTTCATAAGGCCTTGGCAATGGGGAGTATTTATTTTCTCCATAATTATTAAAGCGATCCCAGTGTTTCCTCTCATAATATTGGATTAGTCTCTCCTCCTCATAATCATGGTTTCAAGTTGAATTTCGATGGCTCTGTTATTCTCTACAGCCGATGGCACAACCTCTCCTCACCAGCAGCTAGCCCTCCACAATAATGTATTCAAGTTGGCTGGGCTAGTAAATCCTTCCTTATGCAGTTAAGTTTGAATTCAACTCCTATAATTCATATTAGATTTAAATATTGCTTCTAATTGATCCCAATGAAAATTATAGGCTTCCTTAAAACTAAAAATTGAAGGTCTTGGGTTCAAAACCCCTTGCTGGTGTGGAAGCTAGACTTGTGATCAGGGGGAGGTTGAAATACCTCTGTGAGTCTTCCTGGTCCCAAAATGAGTAGTTAACCATAACTTGTCACCAGTTGTCCTCTTTTTATTTATTTATTTATTTATTTTAAAATGAGAATTAGATTTGATGGATGTTACATTACTTACACTTCAAAACAAGTTTTGTTAGCATTAGGCAAACGAATAAACAATATTGAAAGATAGCTCATAAGTCATGGCAAATCACATCATGTTCATCAACACCATCAAAAGCCCGTCCGTTTTGTGTCTCGTGAATCATAAGTATGTATGGTGTCAAAATCACACTTTAAATTTAAAGGAGGAATATATGATGAATTGAAAGGTAAAACTTGGCAAGACCTCGGCAAGGGACTTAGGAAAGTTCGACTTCTTGAAATTCTAATCTGTTTGACTGAAAAAAATAAAAGAAGAAAAGGAAACATATGGTTTGTATCCAAGGGTGTCATTTGTTTTTTAATGTAAAAGGAAATGAGAAAAGAAAAGAAAAGAATTTAATCTATAATTATGAAGGATCTGTTAAACAAAATGGCTAAACTAATGTTAGAGTTTTGTAATTACGAATAATTTTGGACATATAATCATGGTTCCTTTTTTTCTTTTAGGTTTTTTTGGACATATAATCATAGTTTGTTCTTTTCTTTTAGGTTTTTTCTTGTGTTCCATGGCCGAAAATATTGACTTAAAACAAGCTCTTCATCATGGCAAGTAACTTCAACAAGTTAATCATCTAAATTCTTTGAATTTTTGTAGTTTTGTGGCGTCTAGAGCATCTCTGATGGGCTTCCTAAATGAGCTCCTAGTAAAAATATGAGGAGAAGTTAGAAAATTTCATCTTCAATCATACTCTCTATCATTTGCTCCTAGGATAACAAAATCTCTAGGAGCTCGGCTTCTAAATTAAGAGAGTGACGGAAGAGATACTCGCATTAATTATTGTTGTTTAATAATATTTTAAATAAAAGCTTTATTTCTATTGATTTATATTATGAACTCCTTGAATTAGCGGGTATGATTAGGGTACAAAAAACTCTTAAATAACTTTGTAGTCACTTTAGCTAAATTTGACTTAAAATTAGAAAGTATGATTGGAGATGTCTATTCATTTATGCAAAAGACATTTGGTATTTATAGCTAAATTCTTAAGTTTCTCTTCGTCATATCTACCTTGAGGAAAACGTTGTTGCATACGAATTTGCTGCGTTAGGATATTCGAAGAATTAATCATGTATCTAGTTTAGTTATTCCTCGCTTAAATTATCATATATGGATTTATGTCATTGATTAGCTATCATACTATGTCTAAGAGGAAAGAGGATCCTCTCTGGATCCTCTTTGTGAGGATTCTGGAAATCTTTCAATCACATTCGTTCATTGTACCTCGTGCGATCAGAAATTATTGTAAATTTTTTTATTTAAAATTGAATATAAACAGTACCGTGATCCTCACAAAGAGGGTCCGCATAGGATCCTCATTCGTCTAAGAGCATCTCTTATAATGAAAGCTTGCCATAACAAAAATTGTGATTACAGTAAAAATATTGTGTGAGAAATAATTTATTTTTGATACAATAATATATTTACACTAAACGGTGAGTAATTTGGATTAAGCCACACACTAAGTTAATTATATAAGGCTATTTAGCCAAAATGGTCCATTGAGACTGAAATCACTCATCTCTCTTTGATCCCTGAAATTTAAAATTGATAGAAGTGGTTCTTGAGATTGTTCATCATTAATCATTTTAGTCTTTTTGTGAAAAATCTACGTTAAATTGAAAAGATCACCAATTCAAGAGGAGTGGTTGATTTGACAAATATAGACTCAATTTAGCGGAGATTTCTCACGAAGGACAGTGGACAATCTTAGGGACCACATCTATCGATTTTAAATCTCAGGGACCAAAGTGATGAGTTATGTCAATCTTAGAGATCATTTTAGCTAAAAAGCCATCATATAAATATATATAATAATAAGTTGTATAAGATTCAGTATCCACCATATCCAAAGTTAAGACATCTCATTTATAAATAAAAAAAATATTATTAAATCGTAATAATGAGCCACATGTGAGAAATTTTGTTTTGTCAAAGGAAGTCTCAAGGAGTACTCATTTTTTTTTTTCAATAATTATTTTTTGCTGGTTTCTTTTCCTAACCAGCATGCCGATCCAATCAAGTTACCCATTCCTTTCCTTTTCCTTCTTGATAGTTAGAGTAGAAAAGAAAAAAAAAACCCTTTGGGAATGAAAGCAAAGGAGATATATGGTTGTCTACGAAGATGGTTATTACTTACCTGTCAAATGTCAAAGAATTATTTCCCAAGGCAATGCGAGAAAGCAAAAGGTTGGAGGACAAAAGTATGCCTACGAGAACTATATACCATTGCTTATACATGCTAGCTAGTATTCTCAGTCATAGACGGCTAGTGAATGCATATTCTAACAAATTCCTATGATTGTATATGTACATGGACTTCAAAAATCTAAGAACCACCAAGTTAGTTTGGAAGCATACCTAACATTTCTTTGTGGAAAATTCAACATGTCACCAAGACCAATAGCTATTTGATGACAGACACAAAATTAACACGTTTATTGACACACTGTCATATAGATGCATCTTACATACAATGTTATGTGCTATTCAAAAATATAAAACTAACTCATGTATTGACACACTCTTTAATATAGCTAGATCTCGCATACAATGGTAGAAAGCGCATGTATAAGAGAGCGTCAACAATTGTAAGTAGCAGCTTAAATTACTCAGTTCTTTTTAAGTAAAGAAGATCATTTGTAGCACCTGTTTTACATTGTAAGACTCATAGCGTCTCCAATAGCATAAATCTTGCCACATTGATTAAAGACCAATGACTCTTTGCAGGGTCAACTCTAAAATTTTGGGTGCCCTAGGCGAGCCATTGTTAGGAGGCCCTTCAGTTCATACTTGCTTAGGAGAAAGCAGGGCACGCACGGATTCTAAACACAAACCTTGAGGGAAGTAGCTTGCGTGT